CACTGCTTGGAGCCAGAATGGGCCAGACGTTCACGTCTACCGTAGGCACCATTGAAGTCAAACCTGACCAAGTCAGGTACATTGACGATATTAAGCGGAACGGACACGTATTCAGCGACGGATGTGGTAAAATCTCTCACAGTCTAGCTGAGAAGGCGATAAAAAGGTATTGGGACAAGCGAGATGTTATAGATAAGGAAATTCCGTCGGTATATCAAATAAGATTCCGTGGATGTAAGGTATGTATAGCTTATAAGGTGCGAATCTTTTGAATCATTATTGATCCTCGAATTATTTATAGGGCGTTGTCGCCATTGATAAGGAGTTGGAAGGAGATGTTCTCTGTATACGACCGAGCCAAAGAAAATTCGAATCGTACGAATTGTATACTCTAGAAATAGCGAAAACGGTGAAAGCCCCTCAGCAGGGACATTTGAATAGGCAGATCATATTGCTTTTATCGAACCTCAAAATCCCCGATAGTGCGTTTCTAGAACTACAGAACAATCACCAGTCTTTCATCGAATCTATGATGCAGGATTCGAAACGCGCTGCAGAAGTGATTCGCCAGACCAGTAGGGACAGGTCACACCAAACAAGGACAATATTAGAAATGCTCAAAGCGGGATTGATGGATGAAGAAGAGCCATTTCTAGAAGCAATGCTCGAAGTAAAAAAACTATTTACGTTAAAAGATTTAAAAAATAAAGCCCGAATCAAGGTACCATCGACGTTCCTTTTAATGGGAGTGATGGATGAAACCGGGATCTTGGAACCCGACCAGATATACGTGCAAACGTCGACTATAATGTCAGAGCACCAAAGGGGAAAAAAAAGTGCGAAGGGAACACCGTGTATGGACAGGAAGGTCCATTGTAACACGAAACCCATGTTTGCACCCAGGCGAGTTTACAGCGAGTTGATTTATGTTCTATTGATAATAAAGGTAACGTGACAATGATGTTTTTTAATTTGTCAGGCGACATATCTGTATTATGGGCCGTAGATGTACCGGAATTGAGTCACCTGAGAAACTGCATAGTTTTCTCACAAAATGGAGACTCGCCAGTAGTCAATTCTATGGCTGGAGGTATGTAGCGTTAATATGTCGTAGCCGTTATTCAATCCTAATCTAGACTGACTCTTGAATGCTACTCTCTACATTAGGTGATCTAGGTAGGAAGCGTGTCAGAAAACAACTTTGGTTTGAGACAGACTTTTAATCACGTTTATTACTTTAGATGGGGACGAATTTTTTGTGTCTTTTGATGGGCGGTTAATACCGACAGAGACGTACGAAAGTCTGGATTATGACGCCCTGCCAAGGAAAGAATTAGATAGGCCTGTAAATATTTACGACATTGCAGAATTTTTTCGCGATTTCATGGAGAACGATCGGTTGGGGACGATATGCAACAACCACTTGACGTTAGCCGATCAAAAAGACCTTGGAATATTTTCCCCGGAATGCATCGAGTTGGCCATAAAGGTAAACAATAATTTAACTGTTTGTAAGATGCGCTCTGTAAGAGAAGGAGGCTAATCGGTCTATTTATTGTAAAGGCATCCATGGCCGTGGACTTTAACAAGACAGGTAACTATAACAAATTATATATTCTCAATATTTTGGTGGATGCATTTTATTGACATGCAAGTGCGTACCAGGCGTTCCTGTCACAGGGCGGTTACCTACGTCCCAGAAGTCTCCTGACTTTATGGAGAATCAGACAAAAATCAAATACGAATCCCAGAAAATTCTGGGGAAACTATATCGAAACATAGATTTAAATGAACATCGTGATAATGAAAAGCGATATTACAGAAAATTTCCGATTAGACCATTTGATCGATTCGTTGAGGACGGCTACATCGAGTACATTGATGATGCATTAGCGCAACGAGACAGTTATAATCAGGAAGTTCGCAACTTGATGCAACGATATAAGATAAAGTCTGAACCGGAAGTGTTCGCGGGGAGTCTTTTAAGCGTGAAAACATGTGGTCGACATTTGTACGATGTCAGGGACGCCATCGCATCCGAAATGGCTATCCGCATAACCCATTATCGAAGAATTTTCAAAAAGGAGTTTGAAGAAGATGATGATGATGACTATGATGATGAGCTTGGTACTTATGTACCGATTCCTGTTAACCACGAGACGAAAGCCAAGGCGTCGGCTTGGTATATGGTGACGTACGATAGGATAAAGTATCCCGACAAGTATGCCGAAAACGAGAAAGATTGTTTGTTATCCTTTCCATGGATAGTCTCGGACATACTGCTTGATAAATGGAATGCGTAGCATAATTGGAAATACATTTTGTAAATATATATGTCGTATATAAATCCCGTCACCATATAAATCCCGGATTTATATATATAAATGCCGTACCACGATTTATA